GTTTCTTATAGCGCCGTGACTTTCGTCGCAATATTAATTTTTTTATTGCAGAGATTAAGGGATGAAACGGGGGTTGATGGATGGCGAATTTAATTCTCCATTGAACAGTCTTTGTTTCATCCCTTAATATTAATTAGTCGGCGAATATATCAACTGAAAAACATAAAGCAAGCATTGAGTACAAGGAGGACAAAAATCCCCCCCCAACCTGTCCCTGTCACAGCAGGACTGCTACTTGCCGAGTTACTCACGCACCCGACTCACATTTACCGACAATTCGACCGGGACGCCGCCTTTCCCGTGGGGTACCAACTAACATTTTTGGAGTCAGTCAAACCCCCCGATCCGGGCCTCTACTCAGGTCTATCCTCTTTGATTTCAACCCCGAGATCTGAGCCTCTACTTTAGTCAATACTCTTTATGCCCAACCCTGCTTAAATCTGAGCTAATCTTTCGACTGATCAGCGATATAAACCCAAAATAAACGGTAAGAGAATCTTCAGAATATCCATAAATATTAACAAATCGGAATTTTACGTCCCTTGTCGTTTAGGTTATTGTTGTCGGTATTGCCACATTCGATTCGGGAAAATACATTTTTTTTAAATCGTATTTTACATGACAAGGTGTGGTAATTGCGTTGCTGAAGTCTGTGACGGTGGCAGAATTGTTCTCAAAACTCGGACGAGTACAACATTCACGATTAACTCTATTCAATAATTTACCTGTGCGATAAACTAATGGGCTACTTAAAGTACACAATATTTCCAGGCTTGCATCAGGTCTTTCGCAGCTTTACAGGCACGTTGATTCATTTTGCGCATGAAGCTAGTAAAATAACGTATAAATTGTCAGTTGAACGTATAAAAATTAGGCATATGGCAGTTTTCAATAGAAATTTTGATCATCAAATGTAGAAAACGTGTTTTTTTTTGGCTTTCAACAGTGATGAGTGGAAACCTGGACTACAAATCGGCGAAATCAATCTATGAATTCGAGGCCACGTCGATTACAGGAGAAGTTGTGGCACTGTCGAAGTGAGATAATGAATGATTATTTTTTATATTTAGATTCTTGAACCTGAATCTTTGATTTTTTTTTTCATTTTTTAAACTGTTAGTCATGGAATATTTGTTATTTTTCTTTGATTTCAGATATCAAGGTCATGTCTGTCTAATCGTGAATGTCGCGTCAAAATGTGGACTCACTGCGACAAATTATAAAGAGTTGAACGAACTCTATGATAAATATGCGGAGTCTCATAGTAAATACTAATGTTTTCATGGCTTTGTTTTATATAAAGAAAAAGCCTATAGAGTACTTCAGCACTAACACATTTTTTTGCAGAAAAATAATTTCCTTAATACACACAATAGAGCTACATTTTTTATACATTGATATTTTGGGTGATCCAATGAAATCACGGTATTCATAAACACGGGCCCGAATTGTTGGGTTTTGTTTTTCTTCAATTTCACATGCTGAAATTATACCTGTTGAATTGTAAACAACAAATTGAACATCTAAATGTTTGAATAATATAATGTGGGATTCAGATGGGCACAGTGCATGATTGGGATGGTACGTTTCAATATTGTACAAGTTGAAGATTACAATTTTTAATTTTTTTTTATAGACAGTCTCAACACAAAACATCAGATGTGTAAAAAAAAGACTCCAGAAAAAGAATTGAAGTTATGGAAATCGCCGAAAACTGCACTTTTTAAATTCAATAAGAAATAACCCTTACACCAATCAAAGTCAAAAAAATACCAGTGAAAAGATGACCTACGGCCGTGGCTGTGTGGTTAGAGTATGGGATTGGCACGTGAGCGAACCGGGTTCTCGATACCCGGCTGGGGAGCCAAAATTTGTAACACTCTAATTTCACAGTTTCACTGTCGAGCGGGAGTCCTGTTAAAGGGACAACTGTACCTGGGCAGGTTTTTTCCTCAAGTGAAGTGAAGTTTTGCCCTCGTCCTTCGGCGAATGCGGTACAGGGGGTTGGGGGGTGGGAAGGGAACAAATTGTAAAAACCCGAAAGGGTATACGAGAGAAAATAATTTACCAGTGAAAAGATGACATTTTAAGCATATCGTTCTATACCGAGTTTCTCGAATTAAATACTTTCAATATTTAATAATAAATTAAGGAGCAATGTTATTCAACACCCGAAAAAGTATCATGGCAGATGTATCTGAAGTTGCATTCCCACGGAGAATTCAAATTCTTAAACTTTGACAGTCATCTATCTAAAAAGGCGTTAAAATGTTGTCGGACTCTATAATTGACAGGGTGTGAAAGCCTATTTGGTACGCTTTCGAGGGAACTCAATACTTTCTTATTATTATTTTAGACCTCAGGATCCTTGCTTTCCCATGCAATCAGTTTAATGGTCAGGAACCCGGCACCAGTGACGACATTTGCAGTTTTGCTAAGCGTGAAAAGGTGAGTTTTTATCGAAAAAATTGTAACGCTATCAAAGTGAATCATAAGAGAGTTCGAATGCACTATAATTCAGCAGCAAAGAGGTAGAACGGTATTAGTCGATTTAGCTGGCAACTGAGTTTTCGAGGGATATTTCCGAATTCAAGAGAGATAGCGTAATTTTTGTGACCACCTTTTTCCATTGAACAAGCAGTATGACGGAAGCTATTTGACAGATCACTCATGACTGTAACTTTTTGTGTAAATTTTTTTTCTTCAATTTTAGTTTCTACCAATTCCATTGGTAGTATGCTTCCGAATGGAATTTGATCCATGTTTCTTAGAAATTTCTTAGAAAACTTATTGGTTATTTTTGAAAATGTTATGGCCAACAATACTCAAATTTCATTACCTTCTGATGTACCATAGACTCTGCCCCTTTTACGTATGTACATTTTTTCTTCCACCCATTAAAATAGAGAAGCAGCAACATTTTGAAATTTAGCTGAATAATATTATACCTTGAGAGCGGAGTTACTGTTTTAAAAAATTTAAATCATGACTTTTTATGTTCAGGTAGTTGATTAGAATAAATAGGGAGTGAGAATAAGTAAATATACGAAATACTAGTGGTTACATGGGTAGCGTGCGGCTGCGGTGGTCATAAAACCGTTACCTCATTTTCTCTTTCTATAAAATGAAAAAAAAAAAAAAAAAATTATGTGCTATGATCTTTCTAAGTCAGCCTAGAGTGAAAATGAACAGTTAAATATAGATGCGTTGATCCTTTTCTTATTAAGAATCTTGGATAAATTGTTCTATTTCAGTAACTATTGAATATATTGACTTAAAATTGGATATAAGAATGTTATTTGACATCCTAACTAGTAGTTAATGTTTCAATAGTTTCACTGATTTTAATCCATGTTATAGTGTTCAAGAGTGAATTCTGAGCAAAAATATACAAAAACGGCAATATCTTGAAAAGTTTCTATAGAGGGGTATACATATTTTGATTGATGCAGATAGATGACATCAAGACGAACATTTAAAAAAAAAAATTGAAATCGGTTGTATAGTTTTTGAGATATTGAGCAAAACAGTTTCACATAAAAAGTTGAATATCTCCTGCTGCTCCGATTTTGCTCATCCAAAATACCAAACTTTGTTATCACAAGACCTGAAATCCTACCAAGTTTGAAGTTTCTATCCTGATTATTTTTCAAGTTATCATGTTTACAAGCAATTTCAGCGAAAAAATGAAAAAACGAGAATAAAGCCATATTGCTTGGGGTGTAATGGTCTTTTTTTGATCCATTTAGATGGGTATCATCACGACGAGTATTTAAAAAAAAATCGAATCGGTCGAATGGTTCAGGAGATATCGGCAAAAAATGATTTTTGAGGAATTGCTGTATCTCAGGAACTGCTCAACCGATCGAGCTGAAATTTAGCCCAGTTTTCAGTATCAATAGTACCAGATAGCAGCCAAAATTTCAAGTTCTTTGCGCTAACCGTTCTCGAGTTATGGGGGCTATTGGGGACATACGCACACACATGACCACAGACATACATACATACATACAGNCTGATTATTTTTCAAGTTATCATGTTTACAAGCAATTTCAGCGAAAAAATGAAAAAACGAGAATAAAGCCATATTGCTTGGGGTGTAATGGTCTTTTTTTGATCCATTTAGATGGGTATCATCACGACGAGTATTTAAAAAAAAATCGAATCGGTCGAATGGTTCAGGAGATATCGGCAAAAAATGATTTTTGAGGAATTGCTGTATCTCAGGAACTGCTCAACCGATCGAGCTGAAATTTAGCCCAGTTTTCAGTATCAATAGTACCAGATAGCAGCCAAAATTTCAAGTTCTTTGCGCTAACCGTTCTCGAGTTATGGGGGCTATTGGGGACATACGCACACACATGACCACAGACATACATACATACATACAGACATTTTTAAAAAATATCATTTCTTCACGGTTCATGACATTTCTAGGCATTTCCACCCAAAATTAGGAAATCGAAAAAAATTACAATTACATAGCTCCCATTCGGAAGCAAAAGGAATCGAACGCAATCGATTTGATACGTTCTACCTCTTCGTCACCACCATCATTATTATGAAAATTTACGCAACTACCAAGTGATGCCCAATTCACTCATGGTAAAGTCCCTAAAAAATCTTTAACACGCGATACTTAGGGCATGAAATAGAGTAAACAGGTCAATAGCTCGAAACTGGTTAGAATCTAGGCGATCCCAATTTCCGATAATAACACTCATGTATAATCGTGCGATGAAGCTTCTTTTGAGATATGAACATTTCGAATAACTTTTTCATTTCGAATAAGTTTTTTATCGCCTTTTGACGAGAATATACTTTTGGTAACCCTCCATCTATTAAGCTTTTTACTCCACCATGTACGTGACTGAATGACATTTGAATCCGGTCGTCTGAACATACATTAGATTAGAAATCCTCTATCGCAAGAAAGAAACTGGGACCGTCCTGAGGTAGCAGTTTAAATTCTTAGTCTGATGTGGTGGCTATGGATTGAGGAAATTTTGGGAGGATCGTTGAAGTTGTTGAGCACTGCATCAAAGGGAGGAAAAAGCCTAGGGGTTCTCGTTCAAGAGGTTCCAGAGGCAGCACCCGGGACGACGGATTGGGCAATGACTGACTCTGCGCGGATTCAAAACTATAATTGAAAAACCTAACGAATTCGTTAGAAAATTCGTTAGGTTTTTCGTTTTCCCTATGGAAAGTTGAACAAAAGTGAAAAACGAACGGGCGGTGTGTTGTGTCAAAAGTGAAAGTGTGTTGAACATTGGGTTTTATTCACATTCCTATTACACATCCCTTTTCGCCTAAATTCACGTTTTTTGAATTTTTCTGGCAAATTGTTGATCGTATTGACGTGAAAAAATATACCGTTTTTGCGTTTTATCATTACTTAATGACGCACAAAATTTCATGATCATGCGATCATTTTCCTGCGTTTTTTCTAAAACCTTTCGGAAATTCACAAAACTTTAGAAAAAATGCAGGAAAATGATTATATTACAATGAAACTTCGTGAGTCAGTCAATGATGATAAAACTCTAAAACGGTATATTATTTCGCGTCAATCCGATCAATAATTTGCCAGAAACATGAAAAAAAACGTGAATTTTGGCCGAAAGGGTGTAGTAAATCCTTAGCGAGGGCCACACGTATCAAGGGGTTTCATTCCACGAACGTCAATTATAGTACAAGGATCAACCCTGTCAGTATTATTATGTACTGGAAGGAACTCTTGTAGTTAATTGCTAAGCTTTAGTAAATGTTCCACATTATCATTTGCGGTCCTGGAAAATTGAGAATTCGGCGATGCCCTTTTGGTGAGCCATTTGGTAACCCTCGTGACGTTTAACTCTCGTGAAATTTGACCACTCATTTGTAACCCTCGTGATGGTTGACTATCGTGAAATTTGACTATCTCCGTGTGAATTTATTGTTGTTTGACTCTCGTGAAATTTAACCATTCCCTTCTGACCCTCGTGAACTACAATTCCGAGTGGAACTCTTTCCCAAGTCCTGCAGTATATTATATTTTTAAAAAATCATGCCGCCAGCATATAGCCTATTTGGCGGGTTATAGCCCGGAGCAAAAATTTGCCCGCCAAAATGCATCCCAAATAGTCCACTTGGCTATAAATAGCCCCATCTGGTAACCCTGCCTTCTATTAGGCTTTGGCTGATTCTATTAAAATGTTCAATACAAAATATTCAATAGAAAAAGTCAATAGAATTCCATTTTTCTATATAACTTATTCTATTGAGATATTTTCTATAGAATTTCGCGGACTCAAATTTTGCAAGTTTTCTTGTTTGATTTTCTTGCTGAGAAGAAAATAAAAATAGAATAAAAAAATGTGGCGCGAGCCACAAACGAATTATTACGTCGAATTTCGATTAAGGCGTCTCGAATATTCTCTATTGTCCTATTCGAGACAAATATCATCCTATGCTTGTTCCTCACGAAATTTCTGGACAATTCTCGAACCTTCCATAATAAAAGGTATATAAACCTTCGTATTCCCGACCAAAATGTTCAGTCCGATTCAGTCCGATACCGAAACACAATGTAAACACATCTCTTTAAATCTAAATACAAACGTCTTTATTCCACAACCACGAGTTCTTATTTCACGACCCGCACTAAACCGCCACAACTGGTTACCCCGACGTGATCGAATGAATAGTTTTTCCGCGTTTTTACCGCCTAAATGAAGCGTGTTAACGTTCGCGACTATTGGACAAAATTCGAGTGCATTTTTGATCGTGCACTTTGTGAGTTGGTTTAGTGTACCGCGCGCTCGTGTGTTGTGTCGTTCACGCGCTCCGTTCGAGTTTTGTGAATTTCGGTGCATTGCTGAGCACCCAAGGACGTTGTGTTGCACTGAAAATTTTTCGAGACTTAGTTTTGATTTGGTGCTAACGGTCTGCTGAATAAAATGAATTCGCGAACCCCCGATAATGGAACGCCGCTTCAACGTATCTCGGTACGCTGTCCCAACGCTGCCTTCAACGCTGAACAACCAGCCTTGTGGTTCGCCCAGCTCGAAGGACAGTTTCATCTTGCCGGGATCACCGATGAAATAACGAGGTATTACTACGCCTCCTCGCATCTCGACGCCAAGGCCGCTGCTGAGGTTCAGGACATCCACCTAAACATACCCGCGGAGACGCCCTACACACGCCTCAAGGAGACGCTCATCGAACGCCTGACGCTCTCCCGAGATGCACGACTCCAGCAGCTCGACCGAGAATTATTAGGCGACAGGAAATCGACACAGTTCCTGATAACATTCTACGCACCAAATGGCTCAGCCGACTGCCGATGACGACGCAATGTATCCTGGCATCCCAAGCTGATATGGACCTCGACAGGCTTGCGACTCTCGCCGACAAGCTGCACGAAATCGCATTGTCGGCAGCGCACATTAATGCAGTCCAAGAGCCAATGACTCCGACAATTGACGCACGTTTTTTTCGAGTCGAAGCGACGATCCGTGAGCTAGCATCCGTGGTGAAAAATCAACGCACCTCGCACTCTCGCTCTCGAACAGCCCCGCCAGCACTCGACAACAACACGTGTTGGTACCATTGAACATTCGATGACACGGCCAAACATTGCCGACCGCCTTGCTCACTACAAGGAATCGCCCCAGCGAATCACTGACGGTGGCCAACGTTCGTTCCATCAACAACACGATGCCTCGCCCACGACCAACTTAAATCGCCACAGGGGAGTCCGACGAAACGACTGGGAAAACTCAACATTTGAAGAGCCCCTGGTCACCTCCGTTCCACTTGGTTCCGACAAAGTCGGGCGAACGGCAAATTTCCGAACAAACAACAACGCACGAATAACGACCGACTCCACCCGAGTCATCTCAACCTGGAACAGCTCGAGATTCATCTTCGTATCGCCGTCGTATTCCGACACTGGTTCATCAACGTCATCAATTCAAAAGATTTCGCTAAACCTTATCAGCTGTTCGCGACAATTGATATTATTGATTTTCTTTTATTTGCTTTATTTGATCTTGTTCTCCTTTTTCGCAGAAGGGGAGTACTTATGGCGCGAGCCACAAACGAGTTATTATGTCGAATTTCGATTAACGCGTCGAGACAAATATCATCCTATCCTTGTTCCTCACGGAATTTCTGGACAATTCTCGAACCTTTCATAATAAAAGGTATATAAACCCTCGTATTCCCGCCCAAAATGTTCAGTCCGATTCAGTCCGATATCGAAACACGATGTAAACATCTAAATACAAACGTCTTTATTCCACAACCACGAGTTCTTATTTCACGACCCGCATTAAACCTCCTCAAAAAAACTTAGAACATTTGAGCCGAGGAAATTCTACATGAAATATCTGAAGAAAATAAGTTATATAGAAAAATCAAATTCTAATGACTTTTTCTGTTGAATATTTTTTCATGAATATTTCAATAGAATCGGCCAAAAATTAATAAAAAGTTCAATAGAAATTCCTAACGAATTCGCTAGATTTTTCTATTAAATCTTTTCGTGCATGTGAACCTGCATGGGGATGACAGAAGAAGTGTGAGAAGAACTCTTTTTAGATTTATGTCCTATATATCAAATGGAGAACAAAAATTGAATGAATAGAGGAGTGAAACGAGTAAAGTTCAATATAAAATGTTTGTCAATTAGGCAATTATCTGGAAAGTGAACGGATTAAAGGAAAAATGATCTTCCGATATTAGCAAAAAAATTAATTTTTTCATGCTTGAAAAAATTTCGTATTTTTTCGAGTTGATGGAGTAACATATGAAACCACCCTTGCTGATGATTAAGGGAAACACTACAAGAAATTTTCATGGGATTTTCCGCTTGATCATCAACAAGGATGGCATATATGCACTTAAGAGAAATTCACTGTGATAGATTTGAAAGAATAAAATGCACAAGTTTTTCATTATACACGGGTTTTTATGAGATTTATTTTCAAATTGATAATTTACCTTTTACATGACTTTAACAATTAAAATAAAAATAGAACACAATTCGTAAAACTATATGGAATCCAGTGGCCAAGGAAAAGCTGGGTACCCAGGCAAAAGATGGAAATATTTTAAATATTAACACCTATCTTTGTTATACAATGTCAATTTTATTTATGAATAATTAACTTGGCGTAGTGAATTAAAATTTCAATCAACACGAAGAAATCCGCTGTGAGTGAAACAAAAATCAAATTTTTTTTGACTCCTTGTGGTTATAAATGAACATCTTCGAGAAATATCAGCCGAGATGAATCATCTCAACTGTTGATTGTTCCTTTATCTCGGTAATCATAAAATAGTGGATTTCGTCATAAGGCAGAAAAAAACTTTTCTGGCGAATATATGAGGTTGCAGCCCGAGCCAAAGGCGAGGGAGTCCATGTGACGAGCAGCTTTTTTTTGTCATAACGGCCGTAGGCAGCAATTCATGAACGCGTAGCGTATGAATCGCTATGTGTTCGCGTATGCTCTGCCTTACGTCCCGAATGACGAAAGGAGCTTTTTTTCACAGAAGAGGAGATTTGTTGACAAAAAAAGTTTTTTGTGTTGAGTTCGCATTAATTTAATGAAAAGATATACTTAATTGGTATTTTGGTTCAATAGAAAACCAGTCGAGGACACCAGACCTATACTTTTTGTTACGGACGTAAAGTTTTAACCCTAGTCCGGTCACCAAACGCGACCCTGCGACTTTAGTCACCTGCGCGAGAATTCGCGGCCCTGTTATTTAGGCTTTAACGTTGCCAAATTCACTCTACACTGCCCGGGCGTGTTTAGCGAGTTCCCGGTAATATCGCGTCATAGGCAATTTCATTTAACCTGGGAAAAAATAATTCATCTATCCGAAATAATTTGTTTTCTTTAGGAATTTTGAGAAATATGTTGTTCTAAAAGCTACTATAATTTTTTAGACACATCAATTGACAAAGTGAAATTTTTAGTCAGTCAATTGTAATTAAAGGAAAACGACGTGCGGCGAGGTTTCCCTCATAGGGTGATCAATCTAGGATTAAGGACCAGTAGATGTAGACTCTCAAGCAATGAAATAAGCAACCTGGTTATCTGTATCCAAATAACATCGTTTACTCACGATCTCAAACAGCTTTGCTACCTGCTGTTTGCTGGAGAAAAAAGAAGGATCTTGTGGGGGCTGAGAAAATTCCATGGAACGGATTCTCTAACAAGCGCTCTCTACCACTCGTTCATTATCCAGATAATTGGATGATTAGTGGGGATATCATCTGCAGTCTCATTTCCTTTTTCCTTTTTACGATTAGATGGAGCAATGATTCAATTTGAATCATTAATCTTGACGGCTTCCGACAACCTTTCATTAAAGTTCTCATTAGGCAACAAATTACTGCAAAGTAAATGCACCCTGATCTCATTATCATCCAAATTTAAAAATGTAAAAAATTGAACCTCTAATGACTTCTCTTTCTCACATATTTTCCAAATAAGTAAAATTAATTAATTGTTCTTTATTTATTCTGAACAGGTGAAGTTCGATCTCTTTGAAAAAATTGATGTTAATGGAGATAACGCACATCCTCTCTGGAAGTACTTGAAAAAGGAACAAGGGGGTATCCTGGGTGACTTCATCAAGTGGAACTTCACGAAATTCATTGTTGACAAAAATGGAAAACCTGTTGAGAGGCATGGGCCGGATAAGAATCCCCTCAAGTTGGCTCCACATCTTGAGAAATACTTTTAACCGCATCGAATAACAAAGTTGAAGATAATTGTATCTTGCATTGAATGATTATTGTTTTTTCCATCACGCTGTGACGAAAAGTGAACTTTTCGGCACGCTCCGCGTGCCTAAAAGTCCAATTTCCGCCACATTGTGATGAGAAATATTGTTCGTAACTCGTGAAAAAATGTTTTTTAGCTCGTGGGATTATATCACTCGCCTTCGGCTCGTGATATAAACCTCCCATTCGCCAAAAAACACTTTTTTGCACTCGTTACGAAATATACTATTTTAGAAAACAGTGAAGTATCAGTTACCGTAGTTCTGTGATTTATCGGTTTTTTTCTTTACTGGATTCCTCTGTTTGATATGTCTATGAGGTGTTTGATGAAATAAAATTATCAAACCTGAATTTTCACCACATGATGAACAAATCTGAATTTATTTTTTGGAATTTTACACAGAAATACACAAAACACAAGTTTTGGAAAGAATTTCTAATGAAAACATCAGATTAGTTTACTCTTGTATTGACAATGAAATAATGTTAATAGTTAAATCAACGAGGAAGTTGTCAGTGCATATATTGCACGGCATTCTTCATTATTCATTATCCCCGTTTGTGAATAAATCACGGGGTAAATTGGTAGATTAATCCTGTTGTAAAAGGGTAGAAGTCAACATGCCTAGAATATACCTTATATATTCATAATCTTTTGGACAATTCATTAAGAAATTCCTTGCAAGTTAACTTAAGAATAAATTTTCTTAGGATTTGCTTCATAAAGAAAGTTTTTAGATAAATATCCCACTGTAGATGTTGTGAAAGTACTAACTTCGCTTCACCTCATCAGATAGCAAAATATGAGCTTTCATTTGCAAGTGTGTTGAAAAAACGTATGTGCGCCTCGGACGGGAAAAATTAAGGACGACTTTGGGTCCTTAATTCCGTTTTGGTTGTTCGTGTTGATATCATTAGTACAGAAAATCAGAAGCATCATACTAGTTATTGAGATATGTACAAAAAATTGGAAAATTACAATATCTTGAAAACTTTATACGAGCGGGTATACATATTTTGATTGATTCAAGTAGAAGACATTGAGACGAATATTTTTGAGTACTTTTTGAGATATTACATACAAAATTGAACCTTCCCAGAGCTAACCATCGAAACATGAGAAAATCTTTCACTGAGAGCTCCCAAAATAATATTTGATTTCTGTTTCGGCGTGATCTGTCTGAAGCGGACGGTTATATTTGGTCGAATCCGTTTCCCGTGACGAACAAATATAAAACTTCGTCTGAGACAGATCGTACAAAACAAATATCTAAAATCCGTCCAAGACAGATGTATTGTACTTATTGGAAGATTTCCGTTCAACGGGGAACATACGAGACAAAGATCCCATTAGAATGTGTAAAAAACTTAAGTAGTAAAACTTAGTGAAATTTAGAAAAAAGTGGGAATATCTTCAAAACTTTGTTTAAATAAGTAGAGTGAACAGGCCAATTGCTGGATGGTTAAGAGAAATTCGAGTTTCGTGGTAGAATCTAGAATAAAAGAATCACCTGAATGGGGATATGATGGTTTCCATACCTTCAAGAATGCTTTAATTAGCAGAACACAATTATTTGAAGTGAAAATAACAAAACAAAGAATAATTAAATTAAGAAATAGTTGAATGCAACCGAAGCCCCTAATTTCTGGACGACTACATGGCCATCTTTTTTTTTATTTATTAAATGTCGATCAATAAAAAAAATATTTGATCACATGATTATACACGAGTAATATTATTGAATGGTGAAATAATGGGTACAATTTTCATTTTACTTATAGAATATTCAATGCACGTTGAAATGGTCCAGAATCTAACTTCCGTCCAGAAATTGACCTGTTTACCCTATACAGATTTTGGTCGATTGAGATAGAAGAAATCGAGATGGCTACTTCAAGGAAAAAAAATTGAAATTGGTTGAATTTTTCACAGAGTCTAGATCAATAACAACATCATTTGATGAAATTTTTCATTTTTAACTTCCAGACCCGGAGGAAGAAAGTTATTGTAATGACCCCGAAAATCAAAAGTGGAAATTTTATGATATTTCTACGTTTCATGACTCCTTGAATCATTCTATGATGTTTTTGAACACAGGTCTGTCTGTCACTCTGTGTGTATGTGTGCGTGCGTGTGCGATGGGTGATTTTTTTCAATCGATGCGTGTTAATGTAACTTAGAAATGATTAGTTTATGAAGATCATCGTCTCAGCGGTTCGTTAGCTGTTCACATAAAACTTCAAAAATTCAAAAATTTTATCGAGAATAATGATGGGATATGATTTTTTTTATACGATCGATGCATCTACATTACTGCAAAAACTCCGGTTTTATTCGAAAATCGATAGGTCCGAATCGTAAGACCGGATTATCCGAATTTTTATGGAACTAATTGCTATTATTGGTGGTGGCGGAGGGAGAGAGTCCAACCCTAAGTATGTCTGAGCCTCATTTTTGGACCCTTATAGACTGACTCTTATGGTTTGACGCTTATATTTTAACCCTTATATCCTGACCCTTATAATTTGGTTCTTATATTTCGACCCTTATATTTTTACCTTTATTATATTTTGACTCTTATATTCTGACTCTTGTATTCAGAACTTTATTTTCATTATATTCCATATCGCGTGTTTAAAAGCAAAAGGTCATATATGCCAAAAATGGCCTTCTTCGGCAAAAAGTGGTATCCGCCAGCATATATGACCTTTTGCTTTTAGGAAACCGATCAAAGTGGACCCAAAAAATTGAAATATCTCGAGTTTAAGTTATCAATGGAGGAACGACCTTTTACTTTTGATGAAGTTAGAAAAATATCTCACCTAAAGCGAAACAGTCGTATATCCAATTTTATATTTTGTTTGCACTTTGATATTTACATCTTTTTGAAAACGTTTCCTCTAATTTTACTCATTTTTCATTACAGAAATTAGAATATCCTCCTAGTCATTGAGAGAATGAGGAATATAATTCCTTTATGGATCGAATGATCATGCATCCATGAATTTACGATTGTTAATCATCATAATCTGAAGAAGTTTCAAATTCCCTCGAAACATGGTTCAGCATACACAGATAGAAAACGTGGATTGGCTTCAGAAAAAAGTTTCTAACTTTTAGAAACCGCGGTTTCTCACCATCAGTTTTCTAAAATCTAGAACTTTTTTCTAAGTTTTCGAAAAAAAAGGTTTAAAATTAATCCCCATTTTGATCACTAATGAAATCCCCATTTTGATCATTAATTTTAAACGATTTTTTTCCAGCTCAGTTACTAAATATACTTAATTTTAGAAAAAATATTAGGTGTGTGACTTAATTTTTACAGATTTTCAGTAAATTTATTTAATATACAAAAATAGAGAACAACGAACTTAATCTTGGAAATATTGTCCATCGTTTTCTATGTCCTTGCGCCATCTCTCAGGGAACATTCGAATGCCGTCGCGAAAGAAACTTGCAGGCTTCGAGGCGATAAAGTCATCGACGAATTTACACACATCGTCCAGCGTTTTAAACTGTTTATCCACTAAGGCGTGCTGTATGGACCGGAACAAGTGATAGTCGGACGGGGCCAAGTTTGGTGAATATGCCGCGTGCGGGAGAACTTGCCATTCCAAGTTTAAGGATGCCAAGTGGGTCAAGTGCACAACTAAATTGATCATTTTTTTCAAAAACCTTGCATAATAAATTGTGTTAACTTGATTAATTCATATCGCCAATGTATATTCAAATTGAGTTGGGATGTAATACATGTAAAATTTTCTTTTTATTTTTTCGACCAAAAAATATTTGTTTTATTGACTAAATGGTGATATCCGGTGGGAATCGTGGCAACACCGTTGCTGTCAGCTGACGGTAGAGGCGCGAGAGTTTGTTGATATTCGAACGTGTGTTGGAGGTTATACATGCCTGTGAACAAACCATGGCCTCAGACAAAAATAAAAATGTATTGCGTGACAAAAGGGGACAGTTTATCTCTCAAAAATGTAAAATTCGTGAAACCAGGTCTCGAGAGGGTGTAAAAAATTATCATGAGCAACAAAAATTACTGAAAGAAAGCGCAAAAAAATCAGAAGCAAGAAAATCGAAGGAAGAACCTTTCATTTTCCACGGACGTGTAGTAGAACTTGATACGCTAGGTGATAATGAAAACACCGTCATTTTCTTAATCACCCATCCCTCACCCCCAGACTCCAATATTCCTTTATTCTCTCCACTACTCATTAATATATCCAGATTCAATCTAATGAATTTTTTAAGAGGGAAATG